GTGGGGGTGAGGCCTGTCCTGCTGACGTGGGGGCTCTGATCAACATTTCCTGGCTAGGAAGAGGTGCCTCGGCTTCAGCAGGGACAGTCGCTGTGGAGGTGTGACTAACAGGAGGGGGGAGTGTGCTTCCGAAACTGTAAAATTCTGTACACGTGTTTGTTGGCTGTTATTCTCCTTCAGAGTGTTAGCCTTGGAAACTGTAACAAGTGGCAAGGCAGGTGATGGCATCGTGACAATGAAATAGGAGAGCCAGTGCTGGTCTGTAGAGCTGGAGTTGTTGACTGCAGGGGAAGGATGTGGACTCTTGGAACAAAACTCAGCTCGGCCTCCTCTAACTCATGTAAAACAGCCTGCAGCGGGTCTCATTCAGATTCCTTAGAGGACTTGCCCACTCCCAAGTGGAGGCCTTGGACAAGACAGCTCTTTTATCAGAGAGGGAACACCTGTTTTATTTATCCTTTTATCCATTCAACCACTGTTTATTGGACACCCATTGTGTGCTGGGTCCTGTAATGAAAAGTATGATTACAAGTGTGGTAAACACTGTAAAAGAAATATACAAGGTGCTGTAAGGTCTATAATCCAGACAAGTCAGGTATATAGTCTGCTATATAAGGGCCTATCAGGATAACTGAACGAGTCTTGTAAAACCAAGGAAGTGTTGATAATGAAACTGAGATCCAAAGAGCAGAGAGACATCAACTGGGTAAAAAGGAGACCAGGAACAACCCAGGTATAAGGAACAGTCCATGCAAAGACCCTGCAGTGCGATAGAGAAAGACGGGTATCAGTTAGCTTCATTGTATACCAAGTCACTCCAAAACTTAGTGCCTTAAAACAACATCCTTTATTTATTCATTCATTCATTCATTATTTTTGAAACAGAGTCACACACTGTTTCCCAGGCTGAAATGCAGCAGTGTGATCTCAGCTCACTGCAGCCTCCACCTCCCTGGTTCAAGGGATCCTTCTGCCTTAGCCTCCCGGTGGGATTACAGATGTGCACCACCACACCCAGCTGATTTTTGTATTTTTAGTAAAGACAGGGTTTCACCATGTTGGCCAGGCTGGTCTCAAACTCCTGACCTCAGGTGATCAACCCCTGTCAACCTCCCAAAGTGCTGGGATTATAGGCATGAGCCACCACGCCTGGCCTCATCCACTTTTTAACCCACGATGTTGTAGGTCAGAAATTTGCCTGGCCTCAGCCAGATGGCTCCAACCCTCTGGGTCAGGTTGTGGCTGATCTTGGCTGGTGCTCACTCATGCATCTTCCTCAGTTGCTAAGTCAGTGAGGAACTGGCTGGTCAATGGCTGGGGCTCCTTGTTTCTTTACCTTATAGGCTTTTCTTCTTCAGCAAGCTACCCTGGGCTTCCTGCACATGGCAGTTGAAGGATTCGAAGAGACAGCAAGAAAGAACAAGCTCCAAAGCTCAAGTGCTTTTCACATCTCTGCACTTGCTATTGCTGCATTGACCAGAGCAAGGCATATGGCTGAACCCAGAGTGAGTATGGGAAGGCACTGCCAATCGGTGCGGGTACAAGGAGGCGTGAACAAACTGGAGGCTGAAACTGCAACAATCTATCACCATATATTCATGGACTCGCCAGAAAGCACAAAGGCTGGAGAGTGGAGAGTGGAGGGAACCGCGGTACTAGATGAAGCTTGGGGTGTCAGGGGCTGGGATGTGCAGGCTTCAAACAGTGCTAGGAGAGTCTGGTCATTATCCTGAAAGCAGGCAAGCCCTCTGTTTTCTCAACAAATTCCTTGAAGGCTAAACTGCCCTTGGTGAACTGGCAAACTTTCTAGGCTTGAGGAGCGGAGGGCAAGATCTGGTACATGGTCTGTCCCCTTCCAACCCCTGCTGGAAGGCTGTGCAGCCATCAATGCTCCAGGCCTTCCCCACTCTGTGCCTTTGTACTGCTTCTCCCTCAGTTTTTCCATAGGGCCAGCTCCTACATTCCCAGGACTCAATTCAGGGAGTTGCGTTGATTCTCTTCCTTAGGGAAAACCTCCCTGATTTCTCTAAGCTCAAAGACAGGTAGAATGAGACCATAAGGCCTAGAAAACCAACATGTGGCTCATTATAGTGGCTTTGTGGTTTCCAGGACAAAGTTGGTATGGGGCCCAGCCCCACCCATGTAGGTAGAATACTTCACCCAGGCTCTCCCCATCTTTTTGCTTTTTTGCCTTCCACTAGACTATGTTTCTTGAAGGAATGCCTATAATTCCAGTACTTGCACATACTTGAATGAATGAATGAATGAATGAATGAATTCATTACTACACAGGGCTTTCCTCTGAAAGCCCCAGCCAGCCTTATTAAAGTCTTCTGTCATGGCAGTTGAAGGGAGTTGTTCTCTCCAGCAAGGCCAGGATCTCCAGTGTCTCCAACTTCCAACCTGAAGCCACCCACCCAGAGGAGAGAAGCCTGTGACTCAGGGACAGTCCACCGCAGGGCAGTCAGAGGTGAAGACAAGTGCCACAACAGCACTTTCTGTAACAGGGAAAGGATCAACCAGCTGTGGCCACTGGAGCAGGCCTTCCCTGGGTGCTGGAACAGCCAGCTAGGGGTACTGAGTGATGCAATGATGCCATGAAGCCAACTGGTGAATCAGCTTCCTTGCCGCAGCCTGGAGAAGCAGCTCCTATGGATCAGAGGCTAAGAAGAGCCCAAGGACCAGCCCACCAGTCCCGGCAGAGGTTTTTCCAAGTCAGCTTCCTATTCTTAAAGAATAATGGTGTGAATTACCCTGTCTTTCTTGTGCAGAAGAGAAACTGAATTTCAGGGAGATCAGCTTTGGACTTATCAACCACCTTAACAGTTATGGCCACTCAGATAAAAGACTACATTTCCCAGCCTCCATTGCAGTTATGTATGGCCATGTGACCAGGCTCTAGCCAATTAGACATGAGTGAAAGTGATGTCTATAATTTTGAGGTTGTGCTCATATGTGGCAGAGGTGTGCCCTACTTTCCTGGTTTTCTCCTTCCTGCTTCCTGGCAAGCCATCTAGGACCACATAGCCATGGGCATCACCTTAGAAAGATGGAGCAGCACAACACAGAAAGAGCCAGGACCCCTTATATCTGGGTGTATGACCTGGGAGCCACCATACCAGACCCGAACAGTTTATGCCTTTTAAGTGAGAATGAGAGAAAATAGACTATCTAGCCATTTCATACCCATTAGGATGGCTTTCCAAAAAAAGAAAGAAAATAGCAAGTATGGGTGAGGATGTGGAAAAAACTGAAACCCTTGTACACTGTTGGTAGGAACATAAAATGGTTCAGATACTGTGGGAAATAGTATGGCAGTTCCTCAAATGATTAAAAATAAAACTGCCACATGATCCAGCAATTCTCTTTCTGGGGATATAGCCAAAGAATGGAAAGCAGGGTCTCAAGAGATACACCCATGTTCACAGCAGCATTATTGACAGTAGCTAAAACACAGAACAACCCTAGAAGTGTACATTATTGACAGTAGCTAAAACATAGAAGCAACCCTAGAAGTGTCCCTAGAAGTGTACATCTAGGGACAAATGGATAAGCAAAGTATGGTATGTCCATACAATGGAATATTATTCAGCCTTAAAAAAGGAAGGAGATTTTGACATATGCTACATCATCAATGAACCTTGAGGACATTACATAAGTGAAATGAGCCAGCCATAAAAGGATGAATACTGTATGGTTCCACTTACATAAGGTACTAGAGTAGTCAAATTCCTAGAGACAAAGTAGAATGGTGGTTTCCAAGGGCTGGAGACTGGTAGTGGGGAGTTTGTGTTTAATGGGTACAGAGTTTCAGTTTTACAAAATGAATAGAATTACAGAGCTGGATGATGGAACATGACATTACGAATGTATTTAATGAATGGCACACCTTAAAAAGGTTAAGATGGTAAATTTTATATTGTTATTTTACCCCAATAATTTTTTTAAAATATATATCTTGATTAAGCCACTATTAGTTAAGGCATTTTCTAGAGCTGTTGAAGTGTCTACATCCTCCTGACCCATGTAAAACAGTGCAGGACTGTTTCCTCAGAAAGCCCTTCTTCCAATTGGCCAGGACCCCTGGGGCTGCCTAATCACCAGAAACTCCATTGTCCCAGGACAACAAAGCTGTGACCCAGGAACAGGCTATTTTCTTGGAATAAGAGCTGGGGAAGCTGCTTGGAAGAACCTGCTAGATTGCCAAGGAAGGGAAGGGAAGTAAGCAAAGCAGATTTTCTGCCAGTGTAGACACCGGTAAACCTGTACCAGTTGTTCAGATAGTCAAATTCTTCCAGGCCTGTGGGTCAGCAGCCACTGTCCTGAGGCTCCCCCCTTCTTGAAGTTTCCCCTCCCTGGCTGTCCTAGACTCAGACCCACCAACCAAATGGGTAACATTTAGAACAAGAAGGGATCCCAGGATGTCATTCTTACCTACAGCTACTCCAACTCGGCAAGCCATACCACTTGTTAGAGACTTTCAACATCATCCCTGGCTCTAAGTTATCTGGTCTTGGCCAACCATGGTGCCTCACGCCTGTAATCCCAGCTCTTTGGGAGACCAAGGAGGTCAGATCATGAGACCAATCATGACCAACATGATGAAATCCCATCTCTACTAAAAAATACAAAAAACTAGCTGGGCATGGTAGTGCATGCCTGTAATCCCAGCTACCCGGGAAGCTGAGGTAGGAGAATTGCTCGAACCTGGGAGGCAGAGGTTGCAGTGAGCTGAGATCGTGCCACTGCACTCCAGCCTGGGCAACAGAGCAAGACTCTGTCTCAAAAAAAAAAAGACTGCTAAGTTACCAAGTCTGAACTGACTGGTGGGGAAAAAAAATCTAAACTCAGTGTTGAGGGTGACAAGAGTTCTGAAAGGCATACTTGTCATTTAATTCCACCTCCACCTCCTTCTCACTGTCCTTCCCAAAACCAGGAATACCCAGACCCCGCTGAGGCCCTCTTGCACCCATTCAGAACATCCCATAATCACACACAGAGATTATTGCACTCTTTTATTTACAGAAAACACAGATAAAGCATTTCAATGTTCATTTAGCAAACTGATCCACTCTTTTTTTTTTTCTTTTTGGCACAAAGAAATATCACAGATGGACCCCAAGAACAATCAGAAGCTCATAAGATTCATCAGTCATCACTGGTCCAGGGGCAGCCACAAGACTCAGACAGACAGACAGCATCACCACAGACTGGAAACAGAAACAGATCCACGTTCACCTCACAGTAAAAACCTGCCTCACCGACAGGCAAGGGCGGGCAGGAGGGGGCAGTTTTGCTGCTCTAAGGGGGGAAGTGAGTGTCAGGAGCAAGAGGCAGAGATCAGGAAAGGATGGACACCATTCATAAATTAGAGACAAGTGGTCCTCTTGTTTGTATCCTCTTACCTTGAATAGTAAGACAGTGCAAAAACTAGATACCCGACCACTCATCCATTCAAAAGCTTGAGAAGTCGCGTGGCCCCGGGTGCCTCTCCTCGTGGGTGCCCGTGTGCGTGTGTGGATGTGTAAGTGTGGTGCTTGTAAACATTGTCACCTTCCGCACAGAGACCCAACATCCATGTGTCTGAATAGGGTGGGGTGGGGGCGGGACCCCACTTCACGCGCCCTCTGCCCCAGTGATTCCCGTCCAAGACGTAGTGCAAATTTCAGAGACAAAAAGGGGCAGAAGGGAGTGGGGTGAGCTGGGGGCAGGAGGGACACGAAGAGGGAGGGGGAAATAAGGCAACAGTTAAAAACGGTCCATTTTAGCAAAACCGACACCGTGCGCCTCCCGCCCCCACCCGCGCCGCCTGGGTCACGAGAAGGGGCGGAAGTCCCGCTCCTCCACCAGGCTGACCGAGGGGTTCTTCAGCTCCTCCTCCGAGGCGGCGATCTTGTAGCCTAGCTGGGCCAGCACCTGCTGGCAGGCGTTCTGGGCAAATGCCACTATGTCGTAGGAGAGGCGGAAGCGCCACTTCTCGGCCGTGGCCGCCGAGTTTCGCACGGTGCCGTATTTGTGCTTGCCTAGGGTGGGGTCGCCCCGCGTGTTGTTCTGGATCCAGCGGGCCACGTGGCTGTCCAGCGGGATGCCCAGGAACCCATAGATCTCCTCAGTCTTCTTCATGGGGTTCCGGGCCAGGTCCTCGTAGCGCACCAACATGTACTTGCCCTTGAGCCACGGGGGCCGCATGAGGCCGGTGGACACGGAGTTGGAGAAGTCCTCGCACACAGTGGTCAGCTGCGTCACATCCAGGTTGTAGGGCTTCCTCCCGGTGCCGTACCACAGCCGCCAGAGCCGGTACGTGTCACGGAAGGTCTCGCTGCGCGAAGCCAGGATGCCACGGGGATCTCGGACCAGCTGGATGACCTTGAGGTTTAACCGCGGGTCTTCCACCAGGGCGCGCAGGTCGTTCACCTCCGGCACGCGCACAGTCTTGATGGCTACGTGGCTGCGCTCGCGGCAGGCCTCCGCTGCCACGGTCAGGTTGAGCAGCCCGCACTTGCGCACGCAGTCCCCCTCCTCCAGGACCAGATCCGCTGGCCCTGGAGGGTCGCACACAGGCCGGGAGCAGAGGACCCGGCTGGCCCCGCGGCGGAAGATCCTGTCGGTGGTGTGGTTGACCGGCGGCGGCTTGATGTAGTTCTCCAGGAAGTAGAGGTCGCAGTCGTAGAGGCTCCGCAGGAGGTCGCGGCTGGCGCCCAGCATGACCCGCCGGTCGGCCGGGCTCTTGCCCTGGGTGAAGCGCGGGATGAGCGTGTTCTGCACGTGGTAGAGAGGCTCAAACAGGTAGAAGACGTCCAGGTGCTGGTTGAAGAGCTGGCCCACGAAGGAGGAGCCGCTGCGCGTGGTGGCCAGGATGAGGATGTGGGTTTTGCGGGAGAGGTTGTAGGTGAAGGTGGGGCTCTCCTCGCACAGCCGCTCGGCCAGCCCCGCCTCTGCCAGCCCGGGGCAGGTGTGGAAGGACTTGGCGGTGAAGGTGCGGATGGCCGTGTACTGGATGGCAATGGAGGCCAGGGCAAGGAGGAGGACGGCCTTCCAGGAACATTGCATGGCTGGGCACCTTCATGGGGCTGCTTCTCCACGGGGCAAGGTCTGCGGGCAAGGGCGGCCGGCGGTCAGGCGCCTCCTCGACAGGGGCACGGGCTTGTTCCCTTGGAAGAGCCGGTCTCCAGGTGGCCCAGGGAAATGCCCGGCCCCTGTCCAGTGCTCGCCACACGCCCTGAAGACCTAAGCAGCTTCTACACTAGGCTGCTGTTCTCTAGGGACTCCTGGGAGTTTTGGGAAGCTAAACAAATATTCCTTGCACCCCAGGATTTAACCTGCAGACAGCTGTGGATGCCTCCTATCCTGAGCTCTGAGATCCTTAAAGGGGCCTCACCAGGCAAGAGCCTGACTCCCCAGACTCCGGTACTGAGGAAATGACCAGGACCTGCCTCAAACACTGCCCCTTCCCCCCACCAGCATCTCTCACTCCCATGAGCTGGCGCCAGCCCAGTTCCCCAGATGGTCATCTTTCCTCTGTCCCCTGCCCATCCCTAGGCTCCATCTGACCCCAATCCCCTGAATGTGAAGGACCCCTGCAGACCATGGTCAGTGAACTGCCAGCATGGCCAGGCAAGGTGACAATTGCATCAAGCCCCCTCCAACTCATGGATGCAGGTGACTACTTACTCCAGATGTGGATTTCTGGGGCTCATGGAGTCTCTAAGAGTCTCTGGAGCAGAGACAGGGGTCTAGGGTCTGCTGACAGGAGACCCTTCCCAGCACCCAGGGTCTGCTCCTGGTCTCTAGGGACAAGGGTCCAGGCCCTGGGGTCACATAATCCCCACTAACACAGAGTGAACTGGCCTGCAAAGAAGACCGTAGGGAGTCAGGGGCCTCCATTCTTACCTCCTGTGCCCCCTCTGCCCGAGAAGGGGGACTGGGGAGGGATCATGAAAAGCAGAAAGAGTGAAGGGGGCTGCTGAGAGTCCAGGGCCAGGAACCCACCTGAGCATTCAGCAGGCACCTTCTCTGGAGCCTGGCTCAGCTACCAGACCTGAGTGGAGGCTAGGGCTGCTCTCGGGGAGAATGCAGGAGGGCTCAGCCACTTACCAAAGAGGGGCTGCTCCAAGCTGGGGAGTCCACAGCCACCAGCGTCTCCAGGTCCAGCTGGCTGTCCCAGCCAGTGCGGCAGCCCTGTGACCAGCAGACTGCAGGAGATGAGACAGGGAGGGAAGGGGCTCACAAGGTAAATATGGGGTCTCCATAACTCCTCCCCACTCCTTCTCTTCTGTGTCCTGTGCCCCACAGTCTGCCCTGAGGGCCAGGCAGTAAGGGCCCTGCCTGCTCCCCAGATCCATCCCTGACTCAGCGCCCCAACCAACCCAGTGCCATCCCTGATCCTGTGAGTGTGGCCCTCTGAGTCCGGGACGGTATCCCACTCCCTTCACCTTCCTCACCCACCCCACCATATCCTCCTAATAAGCCGCAGTCTTTCTGCTCACAACAGAACCCAGCAGGCAGGGAGGCTGGCAAGGCTCTGCAGTTTAAACCCATGAAACAATCCTAGCCCTTTAAAATTCATCTTGTGCAGCAATTCCCCAGCAAGGGGGTTAGCAGAAGTCAGCGAGGACAGGAAGGCTCACCCCAGGCCTCCACGTCGAAAGGGCGCCTCCAGGCACGAAGCTGGGGAGTCTTCTTCCAACAACTCCGAAGTGACACCAGCTACCTGAAACTCAAAGCAAAAGTGGACCAGGGAGCAATTCTCACCTTGATGCTCCTCATGGAGTCTGAATTAAAACGCCAAGATCATCACATTACCTCAGTTAATGCCTGTTGTGCCAAGCCCCTTCCCTGCATTGGCTCATGTCCTTCTAGCAAGAACCAGATGTGGAAGCCAATATCCACCCACTTCACAGGTGAGAAAGCTGAGGCAGAGAGGCAGAGGAACCGGCCTGGGCTCACAGGCCTGCCTTAACTCCCATCTGGTAGGTTCCCCAGAGCCCAGCTCTTTCCCGCTAAGGAGATTTGGCTTCCTGTTCCTCCAGCTTAAACATACTTGGCCTTCCAACATGCATTCCATTACTGGCCCCAGTCCATTTGTGAATCAGCATGACAGGGACTGGGCAGGCAGATGCTTCCGAGACTTAGAGCATGTTCCTCTCCTTTGCCGTCTGCTCCTGTGGTCTGTTGGTTCACGGCTGATGGGATAAACTCACATGCTTTGTGAAGATTCCTCCCACATCCCACTGTTTGGCATGACTCCTTTGGGAGCCGGTGAGTGGATCATCATTTCCAAACCTGCAGCGCTGCCTGGCTCAGCTCACCCAACTTCTAGCACCATGTTATTCCCTATAAACCCCTCTTGGAGGTCAGGGTCCTCATTCCCACCATTCAGATGGAGAAATCAAGTCCCGTTTTAAATATGAAATTTTACTGCCTTAGGAAATTTTACTTCTTTAGTACCAGATCACCAAGTAGCAGTAAAGAGGGAAAGGGGCACTTTCGATTTTTAGAAACTTCTCAACGTGATCAGAGAAAAACCACAATCCCAACCACACTGTATCCCACCCCGACCTTATCTTGTAGAGGCAGAGGATGCTGGCCTCCATTAGGGGCTGGGCCAGGTACCCAGCGAGAAAGGCCTCTCTGCATTTTTTTTTTTTTTTTCAGACGGAGTTTCGCTGTTGTTACCCAGACTGGAGTGCAATGGCACGATCTCGGCTCACCGCAACCTCTGCCTTCTGGGTTCAAGCAATTCTCCTGCCTCAGCCTCCCGAGTAGCTGGGATTACAGGCGCGCACCACCACGCCCAGATAATTTTTGTATTTTTAGTAGAGACGGGGTTTCACCTTGTTGACCAGGATGGTCTCGATCTCTTGACCTCATGATTCACCCGCCTCGACCTCCCAAAGTGCTGGGATTATAGGCATGAGCCACCGCACCTGGCCTCTCTCTGCTTTAAATGTGACTCCCCTGCAAAGGCAGGCCTGCTCTGCCCAAGTGCCCCAAAGCGAGTGTGAACGCCTTTCAGAAACAGACAGAGAATGTCATCAACAACAGCGCCAGGTCATACTTTTCAGTTGTTTAGGAGTCTGTTCTTTGGCTGCTGCGTCATTTCATCTGCATGCACTTCCTCTGTATTTACTCGCAGACATCTATCAGAACTTCAGTATGCGCCAGGCACTGTTCTAGACGCTATGCGTAAAACCATATCAAGGAAGGCAAGCACCTGCTGGGCATTCACAGTGTTCCTCCAAGGCATGTGCTTCTTACACAGGCAGTGCCTCATCGTACCCTCATGCCAGCTCTATGAAGTTCATATTGTCACAACCCCATTTTACAGATAAGGAAGCTGAAGTCCCTCAAGGTTAGATAACTTCCCCAAGCTCACACCCCTAATAAGGAGCCGGGATTCCAGCCCAGGTAATGTGCTGGGAAGTCCACATTCAAATCCTCTTCCCTGATTCCACTCATACTCCACCCTCCTTGGTCCCCATCAAGACAGGAAACAGAACCCTTAAGGGGTGTTCACTTAATTCTGGAGTTCCAATTCCAAAAGCAGAACTCACCCCAGGGTTTTCTTTACAGAGGAACGTCTTGCCCTCTTGCTGCGGAGAGGACCATTGAAGTTTCTTCCCCCAACTCTTCCTCCACCCAGAGAAACTTAAGGCCAGGGCTAGAAGCTGCTGCTTCACTAATAAATCAGAAGTCGCTGAAGCAGCTGGAAGTTATAAATCCCTAAGACGGTGAGACTCAGCCTCGAAAGGTGGACATGGAGGAGGGGAACGTGTTTGAAGGCCCAGCCACAGGCCATTCCCTTGTACCCCTGAGGAGGGCAAAGCCAGGGCATGGGAACAGGGAGATGGGAGAAGTCCAGCCCTCCTGAAAATGCCCCCACTCTCTCAGCCTGGCAGAGCTGGGCCCCGGGCTGGCCAAGTGTCCTTGGTATGCTAAAGGCATCTGCCCTGGAAACCAAAGGCCCTGGGGCTAGGTCCTGTTGTTCCCAAGGAAGTCTTAGCCACTACAAAAGACTCCTCAATGCCCTCAACCTCCAAGCCAGACTGTGGACCCCAGAAACCTTCCCTAGGCTTCCAGCAACTTCTGGCATGACTTCCCTCTACCTCTGCTTAGTAAAAATCCAACCACACCTTGGACACAGGAGACCAGGATCTATCATTTCTCTTAGAAAGCAGACAAGTTGGTAAACTTTCGCTCCCAGTAGAAAGCTCAGATTTCATCGTCAGCCAACTTGAGATTGGGGCACAGAGCGGGAGCAGTGAACAATTCTGTGTTGGAGAACTGTAATTAAGAGTAAGAGCTTGCACCCTGAACCATGCCTACCTGGATCTGTCACTCAACAGGTGTGTGGATCTGAGTGGTTCACCAGCTGTCCCTGAGCCTCAGTTTCCCCATCCATAAGGTGAGCACAGCTACAGCAGTGGTGGTAAGCACTGAAGGTCTTAAAGCATTTAGTCAACACCAGGCATATAGATACAACCCAGCCTCTGACACCGGCCCCGATGATCCCAGCTCAACCACTTACTGGCTGCGAGACCTTGGCTAGGTTTCTTCATCTCTCTGGGCCTCTGTGTTCTCACATGCAAAAATGGGGATAATGATAACAAGGCTGTTGTGAGGTTTCATTAGTACAGTGCCTGGCGCAGCGTAAGCACTCGCTAAATGTCAATTAATATCATCATCAGTAAATGCGTGGTTTGCTTTTTGTCTCAGGGAAGGGCCTAGAACAAATCATCCCTCAGGCCCCAGGGTCTGGCTCTGCCCACGGCTCCTCCTTCCTGCGGCTCCTCTCTGGGCCTGGGAACTTCTTCCTGCTGGGCCCCCGCAGTGGCTTTCCTGCTGCCCTCTAGTGACTGCATCCTGTGGTGCAGCCTCTGAGTCCTGTAGTCTCTGCTGTGTTCAGAATTCTGGGGCTGTTGGCTCCAACCTGATGTGAGGATGCAGCCAGCGGGAGGTGATGTTGCAGGATGCTGTGAGGTGTGAGGATGGCACACCCACCCTGGCTGCGGCCTCTGCGCGCTGCACACCCACCCCAGCCGCACAGGGAGAGCCCAGCAGCAACAGGCAGCCCTGCCTCCTCCCGAGGGCCTCTCCCGCTCACCTCATAGTGCTCTGGCAGGGAAGGAGTGCTGACCTGAATGTCACAGGCAGGATCGGCCCACACAGCCACTGCCTTTCCCTGGATGGGTGTCCTTGCACTCACCCCCCCGGCCTCTCTGTGCCTCAGTTGTGCCATAGATCCAGTGACAACTCAAGGGCCTCCCACCTCTAACCCTGGGGCTTCTATAATCCCAGGAAGCCCCCAGACTTCATTCTCAGGCACAATCGGGGCCACCCACACAGCAGACAGGGGGACCCTGCATTGGGAGTGGGAAAAACCCAGTCATCTTCCAAGAAGATTCTAGGGCTGGGCATCTCTGTCCCCCATCTCAGCCTGATCTGTGGCAGCCCTAGGGGGTGGAGGGAGCCAAGAAAAACCTAGGGGTGCTTCCCTCTGCCAAGTTAGCCCCCACCTTGTGCTGTACAGAAATCCCATGAAAGCCAGAGCTGAGGCCTTGTTTCACCTTTTCTGGGCCACAGACCCTTCCAACCACAATCCCTCCTCTGAGAAATTCCATTAATGCCCACAATTTTACACACACAATTTAGAAGTTCCCCGAACCTCTGAAAGTCCATGCATGGGCACCCCGCCCTTTCCTAGAAGCTTACCCCCTTCGTTATTAGCCTCTCCGGGGGATTGTCTTTCCAACCTGCTATGTCAGAGAAGGCTCCTCAGACATGAATACACTGATAGAAACAGTCACCCAGCATAGTTTATTGAGTTTTAAAAGCTAGGGCCAGAAAACACGTGTGCAATAGTACACCACCATTTCAGATTGTTTTAAGGAGATGGACATGTATATTTGTATATATGCGTAAACAATCACTGAAAGAGCTGGCACTGAACTAGTAACGGGAGATGCCCCAGAGGGAAGGGGTCTCAAGGAGACTGGGGTGGGAGGAGACACCATTTACACTAAGCTTTTTGATTCAGTTTGAGTATTAATTGTGGGGGACACAGTGAAGCCACTCCATGTAGGGACAGGTGATTGATGACAGGGTTTGGTGCTGAAAATCAGCCCTGGCATCTCACTGTGCCTCCCACCCTCCCCCCAGGGCACTGCCAGCCATCGATCCCCACTCCTGTGTCCAAGGCCCCGGGTCGAAGGCACTGCTTTCCCACCAGAAACAGGCTCTGTCTGTTCAGGTGGGCCGCTAAGGACAGTAGGCAGCCAGGCACTGCTGAGACAGGGCCAGAGCTGAAATAAAGCTGGATTTCAGCAGGGGCCTGTGGCTACGGGAGCTGCTGAGCCCTAGGTTGGGGAAATGACTCTTCTCCCAGACATTTCTCCCTGAAAAACTACTGTGAAACTCTGGGGGATGAACAAGCAGCATAGTGGGGTGGGGGCAGCTGGGGAAGAACCTGAATGTCATCTTTCCAGACAGACTCAGGAGCCATGACGGATGGGGCTCCATGGCTCTGGGGTCCCAGGAACTGGAGCAAGGGACAAGGGAATGGGACAAGGAGGGAGGAGCTGGTAAACAGGCCTCTAGGATGGAGACTGCAGAGAGGATGGAGACTGCTTACTCCCTGGCTCTGACATAGCCAGCACTGACCCACCATCCATGTTTGTTTAGTTAAGACTAAAACACATAAAATAGCAAGGTGTTTTTCTTCCTAAGGAAAATGAGGTAATGAAAATGAGGCAAGGCAAGGGGAAAACAAGAGTATAAGAGTCCGAAAGAACCAGAGGCCAAGTCAGTGTACAAGAGTCACACCATTTGTGGGCTACTGATCTAGGTCAGAGCTTCCTGGCAGCCAGTAGGAAAAAAGCAATATTTCATTTACTTGTTTCACAGGACCCATGAGATAAAGATTAAAGCATTCGCTCAAGAGATGTCCAGGTATCCCTGACACTGAATCCAGTGCAAGATTTCTCCCGAGGGCGTTCTTACAGAGCCCTGTACGTGTGCCACCGTGAATCCTGTCCTCAAGACCTTGTACCTAAGAAACCCAAAGAAGAGTTTCATGGGACAGTGTCCTAGAGCATCCTTCCATGTGGGCAGTATGTCAACACACAATCCAGCCAGTGTGACCTTCAAGGGGAGTGAGCTGCTGGGGTCCAGACTCTGCCGCTGTGGTCTGGGTCAGCCCAGGGGACCCGTTCTCTTTGGGGTCAGGCCCACTTCAACTTGAAACACTGTGAGGTCTATGGACCTGCTCTCCAGAACCTGAACCACCACAAACATGGTACCTGCGAACAATCCCTAGAGTCCCCGGGCCCCACAGGCAGAATTACTATGTCTTCTGGGCACCTCCAGTGGGGACAAGCTCTCAGTCATGGTTTCCAAAACAAGCACCGGAGAGCGACTGGTCTGCTGATTTTTCATGGTCGACGGGGCTGCCCATCTGCCTCTTATGAGCTCTGGTGTCTCCAGAGCAGAGCATGCCATGTCCACATGACACCCCTGGATGTCTCAAGCCTCCTAGAGAAGGTACCCACAGGCAATCAGGGAGGCAGTCTGGGGTGGTTAGGCTTGAGGTGGTTAGAGGTCGGATTTGAATCCGACCACTGCTGCTTTTTTATGAGACCTTGCTCGAGGCACTTAACCTCTATACAGGTCTCACTTGTCCTTATGTAGGAAATGGGAGAAACGATCACATATTTCTAATATGTGGGCAGTGAGGCAGAAGGCTGATGGCAGGCCTCAGAGGCAGAAGGCTCTGTGCTGGGCACGGAGCAAATGCTTATTAAGAGCCATGAGCATGATATTTGTGGACTACTAAAACCACAGAGGCACCATTGGCCTGGAAATGTTTTTAAAAGTTAAAACAGATGCCACAGCCTCCTCCACTGAAGTGCCAACAGCCTGCGTGATTAAAGACCCTGGCTGTTCTGCTGCAGAGACCTGGCCCAGGATAAGGAAGGCACCTCACATCCTGCCATGGAGGGTGCTAGTGGGGGCAGGGGGTCCCAGGCTCGACCCAAGGGGAAAGTTTCCCCCGCAGTGGGGAGAGTGACTGACCTCCTGGCCACGACACAAGGCCCCAGTGTGCCCAGCTCCTCTGGGGGAGGGATGAGTCAGAAGGTCACGGTTCCCTGTCTCAGGCCAATCCTGGTATAGCCTGGCCTGTGGTAGGCGGGACTCTGCAGCCCCGACACCAGGCGGAAAAGCCCCAGTTTCCTGTCCCCTGCCCCCACAGAGAAGCCACAGTCAGAGTTGGAATAGTACCGAGGCCCCACCCCCTGGACACCGGGGCTCCGGCCCATCCTCCCAGCCTCAAGGATGGGAAACATCAACAGGAGCTGGAACTCAGGCAGCTGCTGCCGGCCAGGCTGGGAAAGGGGCCTGCCTGTCTCTGCGTACAGGAGTCTCCAGCCTGGGCCACCTGCACATGAGGCCTGGCTGGCTCCATGGGGACAAGGACTTCGGGTGGAGAATGAACAGGACCCTGAGACTCACCTGAGCCTTGAGGCTATCAGATGGGATGGAGGAGACTGCAGACGTAAATACCCAGCGGTGATCAGAGACAGGGCTCCCTTAAGGGGATGCATCCCCCAGGCCAGGTGCCACTGCCACCTTTCACAGACGAGGAGCAGTGAGGCTCAGCAAGTGTGGGAACTCGGTCAAGCATGCACAGCTAGTCTGTGGTGGTGCCAGGATTCAGACTCAGCTCGAAGGATTACCAAGCCCTGGCCCTAATCACAGAGTTTAAACCCCCAGGCCATACCCAAGAGCATCACTAGCCAGAGGGAGGGACAGGGAGCACGGGGGCCAAGGTTGCCACCAGGGTCCCAGGACACATTGGTGCCAATCTCAATCACAGCATTCACCCACAACCCAGATATTGGCTCATCTGATACCTACTGGCCATCCCCCAGGGTCAGGTCCCTGGGGCACCTGCTGGTGGGACTGGGGACTGCTGATGCAGCCCTTCCTGGCTGGTTTCCCTGGCATACCAATGAGTGTGTACCATTTCACCGCTTCCCAGAGGGTTCTCCCTCCCTGGGTGAATGACACGAATGAAAATGATCCCAGGTGGGTGTGGACACGGGACTGCTGCACCTGATAAGCAGAAGCCCAAACACACTGTGCTTTCCACACGGAGCTTTGAGTGGTTTTATGACCAGGAAGCCCAGGAATACCCAAATCCTATGCCTCCAGAAAGACACCAAAGAATGTCTTTATTACCATCTGGCCTGAAACAGTCTGGAATGGGGCATCGGGTTTGGGCTCTCCGCCCAGCTGAGGCTTCCCTGCTCTCTAAGCCGAAAGCTTATCACCAGCCCACAGCTGGTCCCAAGGATGCCTCTGGGCTGGGATGCCAGCGAGGCTCACCCTGTCACCCCTCTTCTGCTGGGTGAGAAGCATTAGGAGGGGCCACAGCTCCATCCGCTGGGCATATGGCCAACCAGATGAGTGTCTGGCCACCATCAACATGGGCCTCCATTGTAGGACACATATACAATGTCGGCCTAGCACCAAGGTAGGAACCTTTCATGCTTCACCTCATTGGATCTTCTCTGTAAGCCTAGGGGCAAGAACTATAGATGAATCCATTTCACAGGTGAGGGACTGAGGCTCAGAGAAGTTAAGGGTCCTCTTCATGCAACTCGGAAGTGGCAGAGAGAGAACAGATTTCAGGCTCTGGGGGTTGTGTGTGAGAGGTCCTCACCTCTCCAAAGCTCTCCCTCAAGGTTTCCCTTCCATCCCCACTCTGACCTCCTAAAAAGTCCTAACCACTTCATTCAGCTTTTTGATCCTTTCTGTGTGTCTAAAATGGCTAGGAGCAGCATAACAGCATAAACAGAGGGTAAACCCAGACCTTGAGTCCTGGGCAGCCTTAACCCTTTCTGATTCTCAGGAACTCAGGTGAAGGGAGGTCACAGTCCTCTCCCAGCGCAGGCGTCAGGCATCAGGCATGTAAAGCTGTTAGCATAGTGGCTGGCACGCAACAATCTCTCAATCAATGGTACCTTCAGAATGTCTGCAGCAGGCTCATCTGTCTGTTTCACCAGGCACCCCCATCTCCCTCCCCCTGCTCTTTCCTCTCCCTCCTCCCCAAGTGCCCAGCTTGGGGCCCCCACACACACTGCAGGGACTCAGTGGGTCCTAAACAACTCGCTGACACTGGCAGAAAACTCAGGAGAAGAAAAGGAGCCATGCCTTCTTCCCCGTCCCTGGGAAGGAGACAGCATTCCTGACAATTCCCAGCCCACCGCCTTCCAGCTCTAATCAAGGAGCAAACACAAAGAGGGAATCTCTAAACATTTAGAAAACGCGGGAACCCTGTGCCCCCATGCGGCACCGTGGGGATTTATAAAGAACAAATCATGCCTGACAAACTTGATAGCTTTCTTGATAGAATTACAAGACTGGTAGATGAAGGAAACGCAGGCAGGGTAATATATCTTGATTTTTAGCAAAGCATTTGATACAGTGCCTCGAGTAATCTTACAAAATTAATTCAAACAGACTTGGCCCTAAGCACTTGTCATGGGGCATAATAGCAGGAGGGAGCAGGTCCCAAGAGCCCGGGTGGAGGAGGCAAGCCCAGGGGAAGGGGCTGCAGGGCCATGAGTTTGGGAGTGGGGGCAGGGCTGCCAAGCCTCAGCATTGGGTCAGATCTTATCTAACATCTTCATTAATGATCCTGAGAGAGGGAGTAAACAGTCCGTTAATGAAATTTGCAGAGGATATTAAATTGGAAGGTGTTGTGAACACCAATGAAGAGAGCAAAACGCTCCAGAGGGACCTGCGGTAGGTAGAACCTTGGCAGGAACCTGAGAGGTGGCAGGGGGTGTCCTGGGGGATGCTTGGAGAGCCGGCAAGAAAGAAAGGGGATCCCCAGGGCTGGTGTGTAGCTGAGAGAGGCTAACACTAGCTTGGGCTCTGGCCATACAGCCAACTCCAGGAATCTCAGTTTTCCCATCTGTGAAATAGAAGGAAGGGCCACAGATAAAGAGCTTGCTTTGCAGCTCTGACAGCTGGTTGTGATGGGTGTGGTGTGTCGTTAAGGAGCCTGGAGCTGAAGCCCATGTTACAGGAGGGGAGGAGGGAGCCCTGCCACGGAGGGCCATGGAGGGGAGGGCTGCAGTGAGAGAGAAGGGCCGGTGAGGGAAACGGGCTGAGGCATCAGTGGCACCCAGAATCTCCCCTAGCTTCGCTCCTTAATGCTGCTGAGCAGTGATGGGGAGCCCCTTGCCCTGCCCCAGCAGATCAGCAGCTGCTCAGGCGGGAACCCAAGACTGTCCAGACTCGTGGGGCATGCTAGGAACACCTGAGTGCTAGAGGTTCTAATTTGGGGTTAGGAGAGTGTGCAGGATCTCTTACCTTTCTGAAGAGTTACCTGTCCCTCTCTAGCTAATCAAGACGAAAATAGATGCTTCTACAGGCAGATGAACCAGCCTCTCCAGGATCAGTGACAGTGGCCTGCCCCACCCCAATGCCTTCCCTCTGTCACAGAGGGCCACCATCTCTGCCTGGACCTCTTCTGCCCCTCCCTGTCTGCCCCAACCCCAAGGGGCTCCAGGGCCAACCCCTCCCATCTGGATTTGCTCCCACAAGGCTCCCAGACAGGTAGGGTCTGAACAAAACCCAGGGCTGCCTAGCAATGTGCCAGGCCCTCAGGAACCTGAAACAAATGTTCTGTAGAAAGAAATGGCTAGCTGCTTCCCAGCTGGGGATGTGCTGGGGCCGGGGGGAGAAGCTCTTTCAAAGCAAGAGGCCCACTCAGCCAGATGTCAGGACCACCTTCTGGGACCCAGGGTAGGGATCTAGGTGAACACACTTGGGGAGTTTCTTCTAATGCCCTGACTTAATTTCTAGGAATGATGCACTGGAGCACTTACTGTGGGACCATTCTAAGTGTGTCTCATATATTACTGCATTTGACCTTCACGACAACATTGCCAGGTAGGTGTTCTTTTCTCCATTTACAGAGGGGGAAACTGAGGCAGGGAGCGGTAGCCATGAGCCTGGGGAACCTAGCCAGAAGGTCCATGGGAGAAGCAGCAGCCTGCCAAGAGCCACAGAAGCAGCTGAGCAGCTCCCAATGAGGGGACCCCAGTGGGTGGGGAGAGGCAGCCCCTCCTATGGGGAGGCCAGAGCCTTGCCCACCCCTCACAGTCCCCACTGAAGGGAGTTGGTCCAAGTCCCGCCACACTTGTGGAGCCTGGTTTTACTACATGTTTCCCTTCTCCCCCACCACAGCCGCTACACCGAGTCCTCTGAACAAGTCTGTTTCCATGGAAACCATACAGTGACTCAGGGCTTCGGGACCTTCTCTGAACCAGATTATGAATATCAAATGCTCCCTCTCCGCACCAGTGCAGAGTGGAGTTGGGAAAGTAAAGAGAGACCCACAGTGGGCAAGGGAGGGAGACAGAAGGGTAGGCAAGAGGAATCCAGGAGGAATCCGAACTGGCCCCCCAGGGAGGGCCTGGCACTTGGCACCCTCCTGCCAACTCAGTGGAACACAGAGGTACTCCTCCTCCGATGCAGCCTGACACACACCCCTCTATCAGCCCGGTCAGCGCCACCCTTGCCCTGGAACTAGGGCCCTGTAGGCAAGGAGTGGAGGAAGAGAGGTCAGGGGGATATAGCCTTCTCCCAGCAGGGGCCTGTGCCTCGCAGAGATGGCTCATGGGACAGAACAGAGGGAAGCTTGACTTTGGATGTTGGGGAGGACTCTGGCCAAAAGCATTGCAACTACTCAGAAAAGAGGGAGATTTGGATTTTAGGGGAAATGCGTTTCTGCTTTGAGATGAGGAAGCCGGGTGTTGAGTCAAGGGGGCTGGGGTAGCAGCCGGCCATAATTTCAAGGACCCAGGAGAGTTGGAGGAATGATTAGCAGAGACTTCCTCTCCCTGGCGCCCCTCCCCTCCCACCCCACCACCGTGGAGTAGCCTGACCTGGAGCTGCTCACTGCCAGGATGAGAGTCAGGCAACAGGAAAATGAAAGGTGCCGCTGTGCCAAGCTCCTGGCCTCCTGCAGGGGTTCAAGGCCCAAGGGCAAATCCACCCCCTTCTTTCCCGGGCAGCTCCCTAAAGACCCGGGAGAGAGGGGAATGGAATAGGTTGGAAGCCTGATAACTCCCTGGTGAATGCAATGTGTGAGTCATGACGGTGAAAGCACTTTGAAAAAGAAACAGGGTCATCATGATGCCTGGAAGTGTCCCTGCTGCAGAGGACAGGAACCCGGGAACTACCTGCCCAGGTAAGGTCTCTGACGGAGACAGCAGGTCCCTCCGCAAGGGCCTGATGAGCCTCTGAAGGAGGTACCTGGACAGTCAGTTCCCACCTGCTTGCCTCTGTCATCCCTTTGCTTGTCAAAGCAGTTTCTCCCAGCCAGGGTGCCTGACTCCTGCGCCCAAGCCTGCCCCCGCTCCCCCCCCCCCACTCCTCCCACCCCTCCAGAAGATGCTGGGCTGAATTTCTGTCCTTGACTGGATTGCCACCTCCCCTGCCCCAGCCTCCAGCTCCCTGTCAATGGCCCAAGCCCGTCTTCGGGCACCTGGACCCTAGGAGTGGCCCTTCCTACGAGTCCCCTGCCGAGGAGCAGTTTTAAGTCCACCAGGAGGAAGCCGGCCCCAGGGCTGTGGAAGGCAGTCCTGTGAAAGAGCAGGCCCGGAGTGGGGGAGGGGGCACACCTGAAATCAGGACAAGGTGCCACCCCAGGACGACCCCCAGGTCTTATCTTCCTCAGGTAGCCTGGCCTTTTAACGTCCAGCATCCCGGCTAGGGCTACTCTGGGCCGTTACCGCGAAAGCCAGCACTGGGTCCCTGGAGCCTGGGAGGGGCTGCTCCCCGGGTCCTATCTAGAGAGGAGCGGAAGGGTTGTTCCGGCTTCCCGCGGGGGGCTCTGCACCATCCAGCGGCTCCGGCCGCATAGGGGCCCTGCTCATCGCAGCGGGCTGGGTGCGGAGACCCGGCCAGTGCTGGGAGCAGGAAGCAGGGAGCGGCTCCCCCGCCTCCGGGTGCAACCGGGTTTGGAAAGTTGGTGCGGGCGTGGGGACCTCAGGGTCTCAAGGCGCCTCCGCAGTCCCGAGCCAGGCGGGCTGCCGGACGGTGATCCCGGAGCAGCCCCCGAGTGCGTTCTGCAGCGGAGGGGAGCCGAGCCCCTCGGGGGCCACTGCGCGTCTCAAGTTTGCTGCCCTCCTCGAATGGGGGCAGGGAGGGCTGGGGCGATCGCGGGGCTCACCGGCCAGCCCCTTCAACCCCTTCCTGCGAACCAACACGCCGCGGTCCCTCGCTGCCGCCACCCCTTCGCGCACCGCCGGTAGCGGCAGTCCCCGAGCGGAGGGGCGTCTCCCACCGCGCCCGCGCCCGCGCCCCTCCCGGTTGCTGCGGCGGAGTGTCCGCTCCCGCCCGCCCCGTAGCCCGCCGGGCCCGGCCAATACCTGGTCGGGGGCGCGCCGGGAGCAGCTGCAGCGCCCAGCACCGGCTCCATCCTCGGGTCTGGAGTCAGGGTCGCCGGGGGCTCGCGGGTGGCGGCGGCGGCAGCAGCGGCGGCGGCATCCTCCGCCTCCGGCACCCTCCTCTTCGGCCTCCCTCCTCCCTCCTTTTCCTCCTACTCCGCGCGCCCCTCACGGGCCCCTCTTCGTGGCCCGGGGGCGCGAGTCCGAGGCGGCTTGAGCAGCGGAGTGCGTTCTCCCCCGCCAGGCGCGGGACCCGGGGCCGGGGCTCGGGGACCCGAAAGACGACGGGCCAGGGGCCGTGACCCGGAGCGCTGCAGTCACGGGCGCCGGAGGAAAGCAGCAGCCGCAGGCTCCGGAGCCTCTTGGAGCGCCCGCCCGCGTCCCGGTGCCGAGAGCAGCGGCGGCAGCGGCTGCTACGGCGCCGAGCGAGCGGCGGGCGCTGCGGTCCCGGCTCCACCCCCGAGCCGCCCTCCCCTTCTCCTCCCCACCCCTTCGGCGCGCGCCCTCCCGCCCCCCGCGCCGCCCCCGCCGCGAGCGCCCGGACACCCACTCCGCAGGCGGGCTCCAGAGCCCGCCCCCACTGAACCGCCGGGGGCAGCCACGCCCACCCCCCTAGCTTCGCGCTGCTGGCGGGCAAGTGCACGGGTCTCTGGCTACTCGTCCGCGTAGCCTCCCTCCCCCTCATCCCCGAGGGCGCTGCTGGCCAGGCCGCCGAAGCCTTTCTCCGGAGCGCCCCCCGCCGCGGAAGTCCAGCTGGAACCGCAGCCTGGCCCCGGCCCTGCTGTCCTCTACCTCTTCCACCGCCAGTGGCACACAGGGACTTCGGAACCCAGAACCGAAGCCAACCACCTCTGAGTGTAATACCCCAACACACAACCCTAGCCCTTCATCCTTCCCGCCCCTCTGCTTCTCAAGAGTGGGGATGAATCATTTGTCCCCGCTGCAATTGTCCCTCTTGGGCAGAGTCACCGGGCGTCTTAATGGGACCTTGGAGTAGGTTTGCTGGCTGACAGTCTTCTAGGCCGCTCCTCCGCCCTGCTCACCCTCTTCCTTCCAGACTGCCTCCCGACTTCTAGGTGGAAATCTAGAGCCACCACTGCCCTTAGGGATGAAGGGTGAGGACAGAGCTGGCCAGCCGATCACCTTTGTCCTTTATCCTCTGCACAAATATTGACTGAGCATCTTCCGCTGGCCTGGCCTGCATGGGCACCAGGGACTGGTTGGTGGAACTCTCAGAGTGGAGTGGAGGAGAAGCAGGTTGCATGGGCAGAGCAATATCATGTGATCAGTGGCCCCTCGGCTGGAGAGGACAACCAGGAATCCCAGCTCTGCCACCACTTCTGACATGAACAAGGCTGCCTGCCCCAGGGGTCTGTTTCCTTCTCCGAATGGGAAGGTGCTTAGGCTGGCTGAGCCTCTGATGCTCCTCAGTTCTGAAGCGGGGAAACAGTCAGCTTCCATCTCCAACCAGAATCTCCGATTCCCATCTATAGCTATTCCATCACTCCTGGACTAGGGGGCAGAGGGCAGTGGATGGCTTGAAAACTCCAGGAGTTCTGGGAAAGCCTCCTCCCCGATGTATGGGCAGGCAGCCGCTGCCTCTTCCCACAGGGTGAACCTCAGCAGAATGGTTAGCACAGCAGTTGGTTAGAGGAGCCTGCTGTGTGTTTGCTCTGTGACTTTGTGTGAGTGAGCCAGCCTCTGCAGCTCAGCTTCCTCATCTAGAAGGCAGAGGTACTGGTCCTCACCCCGTAGGGCTACTGTGAACACTGGATGGTAATGTGTGTAGAGCACTCAGCAGTGTCTCGTACTGAGGTGAGTACCTAATAATTGCCCAGTGCTGTGTTCAGGGTAGCCAGGAACAAACGTTCACTCACTCTCCAAGAGGAGAATATCACAGCTGTACTTCCCTAGAGGGTTGGGGTCTCAAGGTTGTCAAGAAAGTCTCCCTCTCTCCACCCAGAGCAGATGGTATGAAGGTCCTTGCCCCAAGGGTCCCACTAGACCAAAGGGTCATTTTTCTTGGTCACAATTGCAAATTCATGACTATAAACTCCTCACCCCCATCTCCACCCCTATCATGCTGGAGGGGCTGACAGCACCTTCCAGTGGCCTTCCTGTAGCCACAGCACCTGGGATGGTCAGTCCTCAGTCCTGACTCCAAGGCTACCAGGTCTGTTTCTTCACCTGCCCTCCCTCCCCACCCACCCACCACCGCCCAGGGAGTCCTGGGATGCCTAACAAAAGTGGTGCTGACCTTCCAAAAGCCAGGATTTCATGTTTCAAAATCCCGACTGTCCCTCTATAAAAAGCCAAGCTCTAATAGCCTTGGGCTGAGCCATCAGAACTTTCCTTCTCCCCCAGAGCTAATCCCTCCCAAGTTTTCAGCCTGACAAGAATAGTCCGGGTTTAGAGAACGCTTTCTCTATCTTGCACTCCCAGATCCAGCACCTCATTTTTCAAATTCTGGTGTATTTCGGGTAGAGAGGAGGGAAGAGTACATCTGGCTGACATGAAAAGATTGGTGTGGTTGTAATGTAAAGAGAGAGTGGAATTTGGGAAATTTTGGAAGAACATTTAAACTCTAAAAATAGACAAAAGACCCGCTCTCAGAAACATGAGGACTTTTTCCAGTTTCCTGGAATCCCCCACTTGACAAATGCGGGTGTTTTAGAAGCACCTATGGTGTGCACTGAGCTGAGGCAGGTGCTCTGGGGAAACGGGGAGGAAGAAACAGAAGCAAAGGACTTGCGCTCAAGGAATTTGGATCCCACACAATGAAGCAGCAAAGAAAACTCACTACAGATGTAATCAAATACAAAAAAATTAGCCTTGGAAGTTAGTGGAAGGTGGAGCCTTGGAGGATCATTCAGGAAGGGCTTCCTGGAGGAAAAGAGAGTTGAACTGAGGGCTTGAGAGATGGTTGGAATGTAAAAAGGCAAAAGAGCAGGAGAGCCTGTGGAAGGAAACAGCAGCTGGGTGGGCTCATTTATGGGACAGTAAGAAGATTAATATTAGCGACTAATGTTTGAGGTCTCAAGACAGGCCAAGCACTGTTTGCTTTGTGTTAATTATTTCATTTAACCCTCAAAACAACCCCGTGAAATAACCATTGTCATTCCCATTTTACAGATGAGGAAACTGAGAGCCAAAAAGGTTAAGCAACTTTCCCAAGTTTGCAGAGCTGGTGAGCAACAGTGCACCACAGCAGTCTGGCTGCACATACCTGGGCACTCTGCTCTGCCATTCTGGCCAGGCTGGCTCTAGTGGGGGTGCCTCAGGGAGGAAGTGGAGGTCAGGCAGACTAAGGAGGCCAATGGCAGGTGGCAGGGCTCTCAGAAACCCTCAGACAGAGGCATTTGTGGAAATGCAGCCCCCTGGCCCTCCTGGGGAACTCTAAAATGAGATATTCCCTCGTCTCTTGTCCACATGCAGGTCCCTGAGGTAGCTGGAAATTTGTTAAGGGATTTGGGGCTCAAGATTCTGGTTTTTTAATATCTTTCAACTGTCTATGTGGCGGTGATCTGTGCCACCCACCTTGTTATTTCAGTCTGTTCTGGGAGATGGATGGCCCAGGCTCTGATTTAAGATCTGCCGCTGCAATCCTCAATTTCCCATGTCTCACAGGGGACAGTGACAAGGCAGCAAGCTCATGGAAGACGGCTCTTAGCTGTGCCCAGACTTCAGGCCCAAGAGCCCACCAGCACCAGCAGAAGAAGTTCCAACCAGAAAAACCTGGGCAAAAACAGCCAGGCCAGTGGACATTTCCCACAGGTGATGTGGAAGCCCATTCATAATAGAGCCGGAGGGGCCCAGAGGCAAACCGAGCCAACTCCTTCACCTCATAGTTGGGCAAACTGAGGCCCAGAGAAGCTGTGTGACTTGCCCAAGGCCATGCAGGAAGTGAATTGAGTCTCCAATTGTTGTTTTTTGTTTTTTTGTTTTTTTCATAAAAAGGCCTCTTACTTACCTCCTGTCCCCCAGTACTGCCCTAGTCTGGATGAATTCCTCTTCTGGATGAATCAATGGACCTACACCTCTTTGTTGTTGAAATAAAACAAAAATGTGGGCAATGGCTCATGCCTGTACTCCCAGTACTTTGGGAGGCTGAGGCGGGTAGATCACCTGAGGTCAAGCGTTCAAGACCAGCCTGGCCAACACAGGGAAACCCCGTATCTACCAAAAATACAAAAATTAGCTGAGCATGGTGGTGGATGCCTGTAATCTCAGCTCCTTAGGAGGCTGAGGCAGGAGATCATTTGAACCCAGCAGGCGGAGATTGCAGTGAGCCGAGATGGTGCCACTGTACTCCAGCCTGGGCAACAGAGCGAGACTCCATCTGAAAAAAAAATAAAAGAGTGGGTTCTTACCTCTGCTAGCCACTGTACATATGATCCCATTTCCCCTTCGTACCATCCCTGTGGGTCACTGGGTCCAAGGTTGCCAGGCTTGCCAGCTCATGGATTCAGAAGGCCGAATCTCGCTGAAACCCCTTTCCTGCCCCACCAGGTCCTCCAGCCAAAGCCCCTTTAAAAACGACTTCACCTACAAGGGTTTCTGTGAATCCCTCAAAGGGACACTGAGTTACTCCCAGACCAGCCTGTCACCTGCACTCACCTCTAGCATGTTCTCTGCTCCTGCTTTAGGAAACTGCCAGAGGCAAAGCAGCCACTTGAAGGAGTGTCCCCTCCTAGCCTCACCGCACTTCCCTCATTATGACCCTCATTGGGGAGCTAATGTTCAGGCCAAGGGACAAGCCCCGATGCTCCCATAGCCCCAGGCCTAGGCCACCAGAAGCAGGGAGAATGGCATCTTCCCCAACACAGAAGCCCTTGGGCTCCAGGGCCCCCGAAAGCATGACTGCATTGCCACAGTGTCCCAGGGCCTCTCTGCAAACAACCTGTCTGGCTGTGGCTGCAACCTCCAATCCCGG